ATTCGGAAGTCATAAAGAAGAAGCAGGCGAACTTGCTCCTTAGTAAGAGGGTAGGGCGGGTTCATGGCTGGAGAGCACCAGGGCTGTAATAATATACGGTTCTATGCCGAAGGACACGACCTACTTATAAACACACGCAGAACATTCTAGCATGCTCTGGAAAAAAATTGTACTGGATATTCAAGAAATTCCGAGAACTTTCTTTCCAATCAAATAAAAAATTTAATTTGAATTCTCAGAAATATCACTCAACCTTGTAACCCACACTCCAGCTCTCATAATCTGATAACCTATTAGTAGATGGATTTCTGATCTGGCATTTTCTAATCAATGTTAACCTGAGCCTTGGTCTTAGAAATGGTATATTAGCAGCTGAGTTAGCAGCTGAAAATAGGCTAATGGCCTGCTAAAGTGGTACCAGCCATGGAACTCAGGAATTTCTATCTTCAACCTGACCATAATAATCAAGAGAAAGCTGATAAGTTTGGCATTCTGCAGCTATTCATGTTGAAACGTTTCCTTCCAAATGAGAAACAATTTTCTCTTCTTTCTCCTTATGATCAATATCCTGCAAGAATAAAACCTGGAATTTGGGAGATTTGTGGTCCAACCATTCCTGTAACTTTGGAGGCTGAGTTTCTTTTTTTTTTATATAATAAGAGAAGGTAGAAATTTCAAATGTGGCAAAAGCAAGAAAGATTTTTATGGCAGCAGCAATATTGATCTTGGTATTCTTTCATGATAGATATTTTCTCAATGATATTGTTTACTAGGAGCTTGTTCAAAAAATAAATTTTGAGGAGTATTAACTCATTTTCTATACTCCTGGAGCACAGTTTTGTTAATAAAATAGGCTGAAATCAGAAGTGGGATACTTTGAAAGCAATTCTTCTGAAGCTACTTTAATATGGTGAAAGGTTAAAAAAAAAAGAAGAAAATAAGTGTTCCCTACCTCCACAGCACCCTTGTCAGCCTCTTGTGGGATTTCTGGATGCCACAGCACCTAAGTTAAAACTGCTGCATTTAAGTCACATTCATTTGAAATTCCAATTACCTAGGTTATGGATATATGCCTGATATATAGTAGAATCTTTTCAGAGGCATCTATAGCAGAGTTTCACCTCAAGCTATCAAGTTTTGCATGCACCCTATCCTACCCACTTACAGTTTTGCCTCAACTGCCTGTTTGTTGTTAGTAATGAAGGGAAAGTAATACTACCCAAAAATTTAAAACTAATAAGCAGGGCAGTGAAATTAGATGATAAGAGTGAATTCCAAGAATCAAGTCACAACTCAAGAATGGGAATTTGGGGGCTTAGATTTTGTCCAACAGTAGCCTTCTCTTCAGTTGAAATTTTGCCAGCATTTTGTTATGAATTGTTTACTCTGATCTCTAGGTTGCTGAAATTGAAGACAAATTTTCTTTCCACAGGTGAAAGCTTCAGGGGATTGATACTAGAATCACCCTTCAACAATATGAAAGATGAACTCAGAAATCATCCCATGGCCTCAGTGAGTACTTCCCATCAACATTGGTCTAATAGTGGTGAAATCTTTGGAACCTCCTTCATATCAATATGAATGTGACATTAATATGATTACAGATCTATCGGAAAATGCCCTTCTTTGACTGGCTCTTCCTGGGTGGTTTGAGTAAAAGCAGACTGGAGTTTGAATCATCCAGGCATATCCTCAAAGTTAATGTCCCTGTGCTGATCCTACATGCTGAGGATGATCTTGTTGTTCCATACATTCTTGGAGTCAAGGTAAGAATGTGCTACATGTGTCAGGGTGATTCATTTTTCTTACCTTACTGAAAATTACATATCCTGACATCATTTTTCTCCTAGCTTTATGAACATGCCAAGAAAAACCGACCAAGAGAATATCCGCCTTTGATGTTTGTCAAGTTTGACAGTGAGTTGGGCCATGGACACAGATATATCTGCCGATCTCCTCATCTCCCCAGCATCATCAGGTCAGGCTTCATGCAAGGCACAGTCTTCTAACTTCATGGTAATGCAAAAACAGCATTAATATGATTTTATTGGGCTTGCTAATGGAACAAAAATTTTAATTTGATCAGCCTTAATTTTTGACCATTTATATCAAAAGGCTAGAGAGCATTTATTCAATGGTATTTCTCAAACTCTGGTGAAGGAGAGGTTTTGGAATGGAATTCCAATGGGGTGCATTTTGCATGTCAACCTCATGGTCAGTTTTGAAATACAGGGTGACAGAAACATTGAGGCAATGTAAATGCTTTACTATCATGGTGTTAATGCTTAAAACTAATTTTGGTTATTTTTTTCTTTTCAGGTAGTATTTTAAGATTTTTGGGACATGGATTGTTGGACATTGGAGAAAGGTCTGCTGTTGTGGAGCTGTTCTTCATAACTGGCTCATTTACAGAAACTCAGAGAGGATTCTCTTACTCTCTCTCTCTCCCTCTCTCTCTCTCCCTCTCTCTCTCTCCCTCTCTCTCTCCCTCCCTCTCTCTCCCTCCCTCTCTCTCCCTCTCTCTCTCTCCCTCTCTCCCTCTCTCTCTCTCCCTCCCTCTCTCTCCCTCCCTCTCTCTCTCTCTCCCTCTCTCTCTCTCTCCCTCTCTTGTGTCATGGGGAATCTATACTTCGATGCCCCGCTTCCTCCCATTCATGCTTCACATTCCCTGCACTCCTGCATGATTACTAGAGGAGGCGGATTCTGGGCAAAAGACACGGATCTCTCTCTCTCTCTCTCTCTCTCTCTCTCTCTCCCTCTCTCTCTCTCTCCCTCTCTCTCTCTCTCCCTCTCTCTCTCTCTCTCTATCTCTCTTTCTCTATTAAGGATAATCAGAATATTGTCAACCTGCTCCTATTTAGTGATGAGGAACTCTGAACTGAGTGGTTTTGCTAATAAGCAAAACTGTAGGTTTTTGGGGGCTTAGAAGATCTTCAGCAGCTTCGCCAAAAACCTCCTCAGTCAGAAAGTCATATCGTGTGCTATGTACTGTACTGCCATACTTTTAAGAAGAAAGAGGTCACTTGTGCACTGTCGCTGGTGAACATTATGTTCACATGTATGAGACATTCTGGATTTCTGAATTACATCATCAGCACCTTCCTTTCAAGGATATTTACTTTCAATAGGATAGGGCCACATCTCATACAGCCAAGTACATCAATGAGTTGCTTACAACACTTCAATGGTCAAATCTTTTGGTTTGGTGACATTTCATGGGCTGCAAGATCTCAGATCTAATTGTACCAGATTACTTTCTCTGGTGGTATTTAAAAGAAAAGGTGTGCCAAAATAGGCCTCACACAATATAGGAACTTCAAGAAAACATCAGTGCAGAAGTAGCCAGAATAACCCCAGCATATTGCAAAGCAACTGTCAAGTGTTCTGAAAAAATGCTTTCTTGTGTTGCATCTCATGAAGACCATATGGAAGACACTATCTTCAAAATCTAAGCTGTAACATGTTGCCTTTGAATCATAAGGCCTTGAATAGCATTTGTGCAAAACCACATTATTTTTTTAGCATCAATTTTATAAGAACAAAGCATTTACATTGCCTCAAAATTTCTGTCACCCTGTACATGTGAAAAACAATAAATTTCATATTAGATAACTGCTAAAATGCCGATTTTGAACATCGGTTAACATTTGAAAGCTTCAGAAAATGGGCAATTTTGGATTACATGTTGTGAAGAATAGTATTGCATGGAAATTTGTTAATATTAATCACTAGCAGGTCATGTATTGATTTTCACTATATCCCAAGAAAGAATAAAATCGGAGATGCTGCATAACAACTTGCTGTGGCATTCATATGGTACTTGTGTGCCATACAAAAATATACCTTTTTGGTCTATTTTTTTGTGCAGTTGGCAGCCATACTAGGTCATATTTTAACACCCAATCTCAGACTAAGTCAAGAAAAATTCCTCTTTTTGTATAGCTGGGACCCCCAACTACCAAATCTGGTATTTTCTAAATTTCAATTCAGAATACACCAAAGAGTGGTTCTGGAGTTCCTCATTATTATGGTGTTTTCCTTGTCAAAATCCCCCCAATAGTTCAGGAGATCAAAAAGGTAAAAGCCAAGAAATGTTGGTGTGTGGTCAATTGTGGTAGTATTGTATCACAGAGTTTACTCAAAACACCTTCATAATGATGAAAACCCAACTCATGATGTTTCTTTCTCTCTATCTCTCTCTTGTGCTTGCTCTCTCTCCTCTCTTGTGTCATGGGGAATCTATACTACAACACCCATGACCATGAGTGGGTTTGTGGAGGGTTTATCCCTCCTTATCCTTGCAAAAAAAAAAGTCTCCAAGATGACAGAAGTCATTCATAAGCAATGGCTCTTGAGATTCCTGATAAGAATTTGAAAATTTTGACATATAACAACCTGTTTTCCAGATCTTGTTTGTTATGGGTTAACTTTCTATCCTGGTCTGATTAAGCTTGAGATTTGGAGTCAAATTTGCTTTTTTTGTGTCTTGCTTACACAAGGAAAATATGAGTATATTATTAATTTCACCTTATGCCAAACTTTTGCGTAAGATGCCATCTGACATCCAACCTGAAAGGGTTAACGTGTGATAAAGTTGAAACATCCATGAATGTTCTGTCCATTTCTTTTGCTGACTCATCCACTACTCTTAAAAATGAGGCAAATCAGTTGCTCAGGAGAATGAAATTGCTTTGTTTTCCATGGTATTTACTGTAAAGCATATTATAAGGACAGAAATTCCTGATGGAAACTTGCAAAAAAAAATTTGGGAACCAATTTTGCTCCCTTTTATGGTTTCCCCATTTTCAGTCCCATCTGTTTCCAGTCTCAGAAGTGCCAATCCATCTGTATTCACATAAACTCACTTTGAAGTTTTCATGCATTCTTTTTAATAAATTATACTCAGAAAGAATTAATTTGACCAATCAATCAGATCAGGTCTTATAAAATTGATCTTAACTTCTTAACCTTTTCAGACTTGAATTAAGGCCACTATTGGAATAATTTACTTTTTTGCATTTTTTAGTTCTTTTCCTATTCCACTTCATATTTTTATGTTCTGCATATCATTTTTATATTTTTTATAAATTTATCATATCATTTTATATATTATACATGTAAATACATAGCTGAAGATCGCAAAACTGACATATGAGAGAAGGTCTCCAACAGATTGAGCCAAGCATGATTGAGTCCATTGTAGTGTAATATGGTGGGGCACAAATTACCACAAATTACCATAGAAACAATGAAAAAGCAATGTCCATTGGAATGGATGTGGGGACCAAAAGGGTTAGGTTTCAACTGTTTCACGGATAATGGATTTTGTAAGAGGATTTGATTGAGTCCAGGTTAGATCCAAAGAGGAACATGAGAGCCAGTTGAAACTCCATGAATCTCAATTAGCCATCCTTTTCATGATCACATGATGAATTGTGCATATTAAAAAGTTGATTTGACAGCCTAAGTATTTTTTACTATTTCATTTCAGGGACTTCATAACCAGATGTGAAACACAAGATTTTAGGTCTTTCGAGAGCCCATTTGTGGTTGTGGCAGAGGAAGCTGAAGAGTGACCTCCAACATGTATCAATGAGAATTGTCCTCTATTTCCCTCATGTATTCAGTGCTGTTTGTGCTTTCGACTGTGATCAAAAAGCCATCCAGTCCAAATCTGTCTTTTCTTGTCACTGAGGCCTTATGAGTTCAAGAAGACAATGCAGAATAGATTTTCATGAAGTTCCACTTGTCATATATATTGTACCTTTCTGTCACATAAGAGTTTAGGAGAGTCTGATGATCAGATTGCACAATTTAGTGAACACTTGATACTAAAGTAATTGCTGTGGTCACTTATCACGTCTAATGAAACCTATATCCATGGATGACAACTTCAAAGTATAGCCTCTTGTTGTTCCATCCTTGATTGTTCCATTCAGATACATTTAAATGTAATATGCACTTGTGATCTGATGGTTCCAGGAGGTTAAGTGTCTGGTATTGGTTTGAGGCTGTAGTATTTATTCTTTGCTTGATAAAGTATTGGTTGAAGTGCTGTTACTGTATCAGAATATGATTCACCCCTTGCAAAGTTCAGCATCAAGATTTACAGGCCTTTTCACCCATGGAGGCTGCAGCTATGTTTGTTAGGCAATTTCAAATTATGGAGGATTCTTAAGAAAAACTAAAAAATATTGGATTCCCATGGTAGGTGTCCCTTTTGCCAGCCGTTGAATTTCTGTGCATTGGTTGCAGTTTTTTATATTTTACTTTGTGCATGGCCTGACCCAGCTGTGTGAACTTGGTTATCTTTCACCAGCCACATAAGTGCATATCAGTCAAACTCTTGTGCCTTGTCCATTCTTGTCTTACCCATTTTTAAATAGCTCTACTCATCAAACATTATCAAACATTAAACTCTATTCACTCCACTCATGACCATGCATGAAAGTAAGAACATTAACATGAGGGTCATTCATTTTTCATGTGATCTGTTCAAAGTTGTGTGATTGCATCAAGAATGTTTGTGTTCCTGATGATCACTCATTTTATGAGATCCACTTCAGGAGCTGTGATTATTTTATACAAGGGCATGTATCACATTGTTAAACATGATGTGTGTTTGTCCTCAGAGTTGAGTGTGGATGTCATCTCACCAGAATGGAGCTAATAAATTATGCCCCTCCAGGGTCTTCAAGAATAGATCCCTTTTTGAAGCACCTTGACATAACAGGGATGCCTTAGGTGGTTTTTGTTATTGAAAACCTCCTTCCCCTACTTTTCTCGTTTATTTTTCTCAGGTTTCCTTTTCATTTTATTACTCTGGCCCTGGCAGAAGAATAATTGCAATACCAAAGAAGTTAGCCTGAACAATTGCTCTTGGCTTGAGTCAGCAACCTGCTGAAACCAGTCACGTGGACAAGAAGGTGCAGATCTGAAGCTCTGCAGGAGCACAACTGTCCTTAACGTATTGAAGAAACGAGTTCTTGGCTAATGCATATTACCGATC